ATCACATCAATCTCCCAGAACAAAACAAAACCAAAGCACCATTTCCATATCTTCATCCCCATCCCATCCCATCCCCATCCCCATCTCATTCTCATTACCTCACCCCCTCCAACCATCCCAATAACACACACTCCTTCCCGAATCCCATCCCTCTGGATCTCATTAGTAATTACCCCTCCCAATACCAAGACCACCAACATCAATACCAACACCACCTACTTCCAATTCCCATATCCATCATATACTCCAATGACAATGACATTTTCTTTTTCTCATGCATTATGCATACCTAATATAATATGATATACCATACACTCTACCTATGTAGGTAAATATATCAAAACGAAGAAAAAGATGAATATGCACTCAAATCACACTGTCCTGAACAAAACCACAAGCGATGAGCCATCGAGTAATTAAACGTCATAAGATAATTACCTAGAAGAATAAGGTAAGCTTTACATCTCCTCTCTCCAGCTTCTTATATCATATCATGTCATATCATCATATCATCATATCATCTCTTCACACCTACCAATTTTCCATTTCCGCTCTTCACTTTCCACTCTCACCTCTCCATCTCGCAGATCGTTCGTACATCATATCAGATTACATCACATCAAACTCCCAAACTCCCAAACTCCCAAACTCCCAAACTCCCAAACTCCCAAACTCCAAACTCCAAACTCCAAATCAACGACCAGTTCCATCACCATCACCAATAATCACCATACCATCTATTCATCAAACATCTAAACACCACCACCAATCCAATCCCAACCCACCAAGGAATTCCCACCTTTCCATCCCTATCCCTTCCCATTCCCCTTCCCCTTCCCCTTCCCACCCCCCAAAAACCTACAATCTCCACTAAATCATAATAAAACCCATCAGATATGCCCCATCTCCCATCCAATCCCTCTCTCCATCTCCCATCCCTCTTTCTCTCCATCCCCAAACCCCCAGAATCGCGGGGTACATAATCCGGGGTACATATTTCTCCATACTCCAACCCACTTCCCACTTCCACTTCCCACTTCCAACCCCATACCTCTAGCTAATCGGTCCTTTAAACCTTACCTACCTCTACCTAGTAATTAACACATGATTAGTATGTGTTCATACATACATTTATTCAAGTGGATCTATCTCGGGCTTTTGTTATAAATGTAAATGTTTAATTGGGGTGGATTACTTACTCGATTGTCTACAAGGCCAATCAAGAGTGGAGTGACTATTGACATCACGAGTTGATTAGGAGCAAACAATTATAGGATTACAATATGCAAATATTCAACAGAATTGTAAACTATCCAGTTAAATTAGAAGTGTCATCTCATCTCATCTTGTCTTATATCAATACAATACAATTTCTTAAACGAGAAGAATGATCCATCCCATCATCAAGCCAAAACCTAAGCCGAAACCCCATATCTCCATTCACCGTAATACATCCCAGAACAAGTCATTTTCTCAGTCTCAAGTCTCAACCCTAACGAACTAAACTCATAGTTCCAAAGAAGGTGTGACACCCTTAACTCTTCCAATAACCTGACTGGCAGCATACTTAGGAATAACTTCATCATCATGAAGCATCTCAAATTCCTCAGTAGCATCTCTACCCATGAAATTCATAAGAGCTTGTGGGCCACCGGGATGTTCGTCTAACCAATCCGATACATCCATAACGACACCCTTAACCACAACCCATAAATCTTCTTTCTTGTTGTGTTTGGCAACTTCCTCCATTGTGAATTCCTTTTCTGGAATTTTGAATTCGGATGGTTTAGTTGGCTTGCTAACTTTCCCTGGATCAGATGAGTCTGCTCCATTCTTCATGACTGGACCGGCTGATGTTTGGGATTGTTGAGCTACTTTGTCGCCACTACCAGAAGATTGGCTATCCCACTCAACGGAGATCTTGCCAGGTTGTGATGGATCAATGTGAAGGGAAATTTGACCAAGACGTGATGCAGGACCAAGATTACCCTTGAGAGCATTTTGGAAAAGGTAATTGCTAGCAGAATCACCTGCCACACGTCCGTAGACAACACAACCAAGTAAAGATGATCCACCAAGACGATTGGCACCATGAACACCTCCTGCCAATTCACCACAGGCATAAAGACCTTCAAATGGTTTGCCTTCTTGGTTAAGAATTTGTGCATCTGCGTTAATCTCGATACCACCCATGGTGAAATGAAGAACAGGCTCCATAACAGCAACGTGGAAGTCATCGTCAATATCAACTGGTCCATTGTGGAAAAACTTCTTGCCATATGGATCCTTCTCTTTGCCTTCGGCAATTTTGTTGTATTTCTTGAAGGTTCCTTGAAGATGATCGGGTGTACAACCAATCTCCTTTGCCAATTCCTTACCAGTCATCTTCTTCATGAGACCACGACCAGAGTAATGACGTGTGTGGAAGTCAAGAACATTTGATGCCTTGGAGTTGAGAATCAGACGAACTGGGAATTTTCCCTTGTCCTTTTCTTTCCACATCTCACCGGAGACGTAATCTCTGTGACCAAGTTCGTCACAGAAACGATCACCATCACCATTCAATAGAAGACCTCCTTCTCCGCGAAGAGCTTCAGCGGCCAAGAACTTCCACTTAGATCCAGGATCCTTAGGGTCAACAAGACCAGTTGGATGTACCTGAACTTTGTCCATATCGATTCCATTACCACCAATGGCCATGACCATCTTTTGACCATCACCAGTAGCGTGAACACCGTTGGTAGATGCCAAGTCATATGTATCAGGTCTGTGTTTCTTGAGTAGAGATGTTTCTGTGAAATCTGCTGCGTATCCACCAGTGGCCAAAACGACTGGTCCTTCAACAAATGAAGGTTCTCCACCGAATTCATAATTGACACCGGTAATCTTGTTTCCTTCCTTTTTCAGTCCTGTAACTCGTGCCTTCTTGATAATTTGTACACGTTCGGGTTCTGCTTCAGCGAGCTCCTCTAGCCTTTGCATTAAAGCATATGTAATGGCCATACCAGGGAATTTCGCATCGTGTCCACGGTGAGTTCTTGGATGTGAGTGACCACTGATTCAATTAGTAAATGTCTGAGCGATTAATGTGTATGTAGTCTTTGCTTACCCTAGTCGTGATACGAGAGTCAAATCTAATCCGAATACATCTTGAAGCCATTCAACAGCGGCGGCAGACTTGTATGTCAAGACCTTGATCAAATCCGGCCTCGCCTTATCTCTTGCCGATTTCAGTGTGTCATCGTAGAATTGCTTTACACTGTCTTGAATCTTTTGGTCGACTTGAGTTCGAGTAAGTGCTCCATTAATACCGGAGGTAGCCTCTATTTATACATTAGCAAATGATTTGCGAATCAAGAATCGTTTTACTTACTTGTCGAGTTTCCACCAAAGAAGGCTATATGTAGCAGTCAGCATGTGTTGTTTGATGATCAACGCGAGAAAGAGTGGCGCAAAGCGTGTCTCGCCATTCAGACCGATCTTTGGTTGAAAGTGATGTGAAGTGTATTAAACGCTATCGCGAGTTCAACTTACCTTGTTTATCTAGAACAACGACGTTGCCACCAGCCAGGTAGATGGTATGTGCAGCACTCAAGCCAGATACTACAGTCAATATTAGCTTCAGTACACTTTCAAAGGACAAAGGTAATCAAACATACGACCACCGCCAACGACAATTACTCTAGGTGCCATTTTAATTAGAATTGTATGTAGAGAAGATGATGAGAGGGTAACAAATGTCTTGAGAAAGAGAGTTTAGAGGATAAATAATAGAAAGAATCTTAGAGAATGGGTTGTTGGGGGTTTTGTGTTAAATGTAATAGCGCTCTCGTCTCTCCGCTGGAATGGGTGCCGAGGCATTACGGGTCCAAGTTTTAGCTTGGAGCTAAGGTGCTAAGCAAGAAAAGTAAGTTCCTGATTCGCTCAGAATCTCTCAAATGTTTATGTCAGCATACGGAACTGGGGAAAATTTATGGGGTTTGAACGGTCAAAATTTCCGGAAACGATGTTGATATAATGATTTGATGGGGTTCAATAGTTCGAACTTGAAGTGGTCTAATGTAAAGTCCGCAGTCAAAAATGAAAGCAGCAACATAATTTTAGAAAGTCTAGATAGACATATTCGTTCTCATAACGTTGGTGACACTCGGATACTTAGACATTGTTTGAAATCGGCCTGTAACGATATCACGAGTCAGATTACAAGACTACAAAGAGAAGAGGCGGGTATCGAGCATGTGAAAGCCGGTAGGAGCTAAGCCCCACAAAATCAATGTTAAGGTTACTCCAGGTTTTCAATGCATCAGATGATTTGATCTCAGGTCATTTTGTTCCTTTCAGCAGGAATATCGAGAAATTTTGATTGAAAGAGTTATTAACATGTGAAAGAAGTTGTGTGTTGCTAGGTTTGCCTATATATCCGAGTAGTTGACTGAGCCGAGTAAATACATTCACTATTAAAGGGGTACAGTTAAAGAGGAGTAGGTTGTTGTTTACTTTACTTGACAGTTCCAACTCAATTGATGTACGATAGATATGCGTACTTGGTATTAACCATAAACTGAGCTAATCGTAACTTCTATAAGATCATCTCAACGGCTCTATCGTATATACTTCAGATATTCCATTCAAATCTATCTAGGCGAGTTAGGCTATTTGCTAGAAAATCGGTGTGGTCTGGACATTCATCTTGAGGTTTCAGAGTACTGGGGCCTTCCTTTCAAAATTGCTTTGTAGATGGCTTAGGCTTTACTGGCTTTTGTGAACTCTGATGATACAAATTGATGGGAATAGCGATATATCCCTCTGCTGCCGTATGATAGATTGAAATCGAAGAAAGGTATCTGATCACGTGTTTCCTCTGCTAGTCGATGTGGGCTGATGAAGCGGGCAGAGACGATCGACCGTACTCTGCTAATTCGTCATCCCGCATTTCTATATCAAGATATCAAGATTTGGGTAAAATAACAAAATCCATCAATAACATTAATAACAATAAGATGAAATACACGTCCTCAATATCATTTCTTTTGACGGTATTCTTCGCTGCTACGATTTCAGGTAAAGATATACAAGGACCTCTGTCAGACAACAATCTTGGTCCCGCGATGCCTCCTAAATCAGAACCCTCTTCTGATCCCGTCGGTGGAGGTGATACAATCATTCTATCGGATGTTCTAGGCAGAGATCGAAGCATCAATATATTCGCTGGATTTACAAGAGATATAGCACCCATAAGTCAGCGATTTGCTGATGGTGGCCAAAACACAACCATTCTTGCCCCAGTCAACAGTTGTATAATGGCTCTGCCTCGAAAGCCATGGGAAGACCCAGAAGATTATGATAAGCTTGGAGCCAATGCATATGAGGGTAAAGATGGAGAAGAGAGGGCCCATAGGAATCTGCGGAGATTTGTGGAAGCTCACATCGTCCCTGCGAGTCCATGGAAGGAAGGTGAGAAAATAAAGACTTTGGTTGGAGATGAGGTCTGGTGGGAGAATAAGGACGGAGTGAAACGAGTGAGTTTTATTATGAAATATGTAGTCCATACTTACTGACCTCTCTCGTAGTTGCAACCTGGAAATATTGAGGTCTCAAGCATAACAGGTGATGTTCACAACGGGCAAGTCTGGATATTGAAGAATGTCAGAAACTACGCATAGAAACTGCTTGGACATTACTTGCAGAGATTGGCTTTACTTGGACTTGATAATCCAAGTGTTGGTGAATTCGACTGGGCACATATATAAGGGGTTTTGCCCTTGACGTCGCATATCATAATAATAATAAATATTCTGTCTTCGAAATGTCCACGTGCGTTACACAATGATGATTACATCATTCGCACCCTGAAAATTGTCAATAGTTTCTCCATAATAGCTTTATCTTGCAATGAATGGAATGTGCTTCAGTGAATACCTACACATGATATGTCAAATATCAGTGGGCCTACCGAATAAAGAATTGACAGCCTCGCCTTCCCTACCTAGTTTTACTCAGCCTTGAAGCATTAGCGGTAATCGCCGGCACGCTAAGGGAAATCATCATTGCGATCATTTGGAAATTCTCATAACTCAGTGTCGACATCTCGCTTGCTATTCGTTTTGATTGATGAATTTAGAGGGACAGTGAGTTATTGCAATAGAGATATATCTCTGAATCATACTGGAAATTAGATTCAGTTCTATGGAACGGCATTAGTGGTTTTTACTCCATTGCGCCGGAGCATAAAGCCTTGCGCGTACTTGCAAGCTACTTGGTCAGTACCTCCTCATTCATTGTTGAGTCAAGATTCACTTCGCATTCATGATCAGAATTAGAGCTAGTGATATGACATGTCAAATCTCTTCATTTATAAATGAGCTAACATCTACTACTATTCGAAGTTAGCTTATCGAGAGAATCAATCGAGAATCAAATCAGCCAACTAGAAACAAAACGTTATGAATAATCAACCGCATAACGGACCCCCAAACTTCGATCGAGATCGAGATATGGAAGAACAACTCAGACAACGTGCTTTACAGCATAAGCAGGAAGAGATCACGGCGCAGCGCGAGCGCGAGCTTGAGAGGCAAGAAAGAGATCGACAACACAGAGAACAACAATATCAACCAGCACCTCCTCATCAGAGCAACACCGGTAGCATACCCTTACATCAACCTGTTGCGAACCGGGCAACTACAGCAATGCATAGTCCAGGAGGGATTCTTGCTACGCATGGTACTCCATTAGGAGCTCCAAGCGGACCTGTGAACGCCTTTGGTGGACCGCTTCATAATGATGCAGCACGCACTTTGCAACATCATGCTCAAAACTCCGCGCAGCAACCCCTCCAGCAATCCATATTTGGCTCCGAGCCTATCTTCAGCCGTGGTTCGGGTGGCCCCCAGTCAAATGTGCCACTTGGAGTACCAGATGTTGGCTTTGGCAGGCCACAACTAGTTCCACGAGAGACGACTCAACAGGAAGTAGCAGCCGCAAGGTTGATGCCATTCACACCTGTTACACCTGGTCATCAAATGCCTGGGCCAGCTGGTCTGACACAAGTTGGGCAACAGCCAATTCTTAATGTAAGTTTCCAGTGAAAATTGTCTTTGTTGCCCATGCGTGCTTGGGTATATCAAAGCTATGACGCAAGTCTAATTCCTTATAGGATGCTCTTAGTTATCTCGACCAAGTCAAAGTTCAGTTTTCAGATCAACCTGATGTTTATAATCGGTTTCTTGATATCATGAAAGACTTCAAAAGTCAAGCGTAAGCTATATTTACTTTATCAGCCTTGCACATCAGATTTTGTTCCAATAGCATGTCCTATCCATATCCTAACTCATAGCTCACTTTTAGAATCGATACTCCTGGTGTTATCAATCGGGTTTCCGAACTCTTTGCAGGTCATCCAAATTTGATTCAAGGCTTCAATACATTTCTACCACCTGGATATAGAATTGAGTGCGGTGCCGACAATAATCCAAATACAATTAGAGTCACGACTCCAATGGGAACAACTGTTCAATCAATTCCTGGAGCTGGTCGTGTACTTGGGGAAACTGTAGTTAGCCACGGCAGCGGCGCAAACGGCTTTTACAATCCTCAACGTCCAGGAAATTGGCAGCAACAACCACAACATAGCATCGAAAGTCCAGAAGCCGTGTTTAGTCCACCTCACCAGAATGCTACGGTTCCTTATGGTCACAATCAAGCGCAAATTGGACCATACGACGCACAAACGCAAGCGCAAGCAGCAGCAGCAGCCGCCGCGGCCGCAGCTCATCAACAACAACAGCGAGGTGTTTCTCAATTGACTAACGCTGTCAGTGCAACTTTAGGTCAACCACCGAGAAACACGCAAACCCCAACGCCGGGCGGTAGCTCTGGTAATCTGAACGGTTCCAGTGCGCAAGCGGGCATGGAAAAGCGTGGCCCGGTTGAGTTTAATCATGCAATAAGCTATGTTAACAAAATTAAGGTATGAATTAATGATCATTTCAATTGTCTTCGAAAATATACTGATCATTTCCCCTAGAACCGTTTCCAAGACAAACCCGAAATTTATAAACAGTTTCTCGAAATTCTCCAAACATACCAACGCGAATCTAAACCTATTCAGGACGTTTATAGTCAGGTAACTACCTTGTTTGGTACGGCGCCAGATCTTCTTGAAGATTTCAAACAATTTCTTCCCGAATCAGCTGCACAAGCAAAGGCTGCGAAGGAGGCCGCGGAAGAAGCAACGGCAATGCCAGATTCTTCTCAAAGTGCTCAACTTGGAAATAGAGGTCCTACAGGAGATCCCAAACTCCCAATTATGGGAAACTTTCCCATCCCTGTATCTACTAATGGCAAAACAGAAAAAAAGCGCAAGCCTCTCACTCAAGGAACCAATTCGCAAATGGGTAATGGAGGAGAAGGCTCTGTTCGTGGCGCTGGTCAACAACAACCCAACAAGGTAATTTAGGCTTCAAGCTATTCTTTTAAAAAAAAATTATTATTTATTGAGATATTTACTTAATACTTTGATTTGTATAGCGATCGAAAACCCATCATAACAGTAAACCACAAGCTGCTGATGCAGCTGCGGTATCTCCGACCTTAACGCCAATCGTACCCGAACCACTTCCTCCTGCATCGATGTCTGCCGCGAGTTCTGAAGAATTGGCTTTCTTCGATCGCGTGAAGAAATATATTGGCAATAAGTCCACTATGAATGAGTTTTTGAAGCTCTGTAACCTTTTCTCACAAGACTTGATAGATCGAAACGTCCTCGTATTCAAAGTTCACAATTTCATTGGTGGAAGTGCGGACCTGATGAATTGGTTTAAAGCCTTTGTTAATTATGAAGGCGTCGACGAGGTCATCGATAATCGCCCAAAAGCTCCTACAGGAAGAGTTGCGTTGAGTAATTGTCGAGGCTTGGGGCCAAGTTATCGCTTGTTACCGAAAAGAGCAAGTTTTCCTCTCCCTTAATACTTTTAGCTACAAAATTTTCATCCATCATTTCCCAGAGAGTGAACATATTTGTTAGACCAGAGCACTTTGCTAATACCAATAATAGGAACGATTGAAGCCTTGTAGTGGTCGAGATGAGATGTGCCAAGCCGTTCTTAACGATGACTGGGCTTCGCATCCTACATGGGCATCAGAAGATTCGGGTTTCGTAGCTCATCGAAAGAATATTTTCGAGGAAGGTCTTCACCGCATCGAAGAAGAACGTCACGATTACGATTTCAACATTGAATGTAACGCCAAAGTAATACAACTTCTTGAACCAATCGCACAGCAGATCGTTGCCATGGATCCAGCTGAGAGACAGAACTTTCGCATGCCCAATACTGCTGGTCCAAACCAAGCTATTTACAAGCGTGTATTGAAGAAAATTTATGGTGCAGAGAAAGGTCCACAAGTCGTTACCGATCTAATTCAAGATCCTTGCGCTGTGTTACCTGTAATTTTAGCACGACTCAAGCAGAAAGATGAAGAATGGACCTTTACTAGAGTGAGTATCCTATATTCCAGCAATTTAGCACCGCTAATATAAGTATCAGCGTGAATGGAATCCTGTCTGGGGTGCACAAGGTGGGGTTATGTACCTGAAAAGTCTTGATCACATGGGCATTCATGTCAAGCAAGCCGACAAAAAGCATTTTGCTGCAAAGCATTTAGTGGATTCTATTAAGACCAAACACGAAGAACAACGACGCCTTAGAAGTTCGAGAGGCCCCACGCCGAAATATCAGTACTCCTACCAATTTGCTGATCAAGAGGTCATCTGCCAGCTTTTACACATCATGATTGTCTATGCCTGCAATGCAAGCCAACACAGTAGTTCCGAGCGTCGACGCATTTCGGACTTCTTTGAGAAGTTTGTATCTACATTCTTTGACTTGCCCGAGGATCTTGTTGCACTTCACACTGCTGACATTGATCGTGGAACTCCTGATGATGATTATGAAGACATTGCCCCGGCTGAGCTTTCTAATGGCCGAGGCAGGCGACCAGTAAATGGAAAGAAAGCAGACCTACGACGAGGAGTACTTGATAAAGGTCGCAATGGCACAAGAGGCCGGGGACAGAAGGAAGACAGCGCTACTGGCAGTAAAGAATCTACACCGGATGTTGATTCTAACATGGATGAAGAAGTCAACGAAGCAGCTGACGATAGAACTATTACCGAAGTCACTAACGAGCGTTGGGCTGCTGTGCCAGGTGCAGTTGCTGTCCAAGGAACAAAACCTCTTGAATCTGACGACTTGGAAATGAAAGCGGATCAACCATTTCAACGTGATTGGTATAATCTGTACTGCAACCAAACCATTTTTGTATTCTTCAGCGTTTTCCAAACTCTTTATCAAAGACTCAAGGACATTAAAGATGCAGAGAGCTCTGCCAGAGCAGAAATGGAACGTGCAAAGAGTGGCAAACCTGCAAAACAAATTGGTTTGCTAAGCGACAGAACGGATGATTTTACTAGTATCGAAGATGGCGAGTCTTGCTTCTCAAAAGTCCTGAGCATTGTCGAAAAATTTATCAAAAGCGAATATGATGACACTAAATACCAAGACTACCTCCGACGTTACTACTTGCAGACGGGATGGAAGATATACACCATAAGCGACCTTCTTAAGACTCTTTGTCGCCTTGGCTCCACCTGCTCATCTCCCGATGCCAAGGAGAAGACTCCGGATCTCATTGAACAATTTTTACGCAACAGAGAGTCGAAAGAAACATCTTATAATATTGAGATTAATTTACGGAAACAAGCCGATAAATACATCAAAGATTCAGAATTATTCTTGATCAGATGGGTAAGCAATTTTTGGTTCCATTTTACAAGTATCTGCTAACAGGATATCAGTACCCCAAAAAGAATGAAGCGACATCACAGTGGGTCCATCGAGACGAAACTACATTCGATCTTGATATAATGCAACGAAAAGAGCGTTGGCAATATTATACATCTTCTTATGTCCGTATTGAACCGACCGAAGGCGTGCCCCGTAGACTTCTTCGCAAGAGCCTCCTTACCCGCAATTTACCATCAGGAGATACAGATTCTGAAGATGGTTCTAATCAACGTAAACCTCTTGTTTGGGGCGAGGATCTAACACTCAGAATCTGCGTCAATAGTTACAAGATCATCTACAAGGAACCCGGCGTGGAATATTTCATTTATGCCGATAAAGCTCTAGGCGGTGGTGAAGAAGGTGAGACTAGACAAAGGTTGAAGAAGGTTGAGGAATCAAGAAATCAAAGATTTCATGAGAAATTTGGAATGAATAATCGATGGATGAAGGAAAAGAGCCACGAAGAAGTTAGTAGGATCAATCAAGAATTTAGAAAATGGGTCAATGAGGGTGTTCTTCCCTCAACACAGGCTGCTGGCAGTGGCAATGTCGTTTCTGGGGCTACATCAGCAGCACCTACTGCGTCAACGGCCACAGCAGCCGTTGATAACGAGGTAGATATGGCTGATTAAGTTCAGAAGGCATTTGTTTTTCAAAGATGGGGCTGGATATGGGAGGAGTTTGGGAATGGGTTTCGTAACGACATTCTCTTTTCAGTTTTTTATTTTTTCGTTCCTTTGGTAAATCTCAAAGAGCTTGAAATTCTTCAATCACGTGGCTGTCATGGATTCATTTGCGAAAGGTGGCATGGAATCTACAAACGGACTGAGGTATTGGACTTACTAAGGTATCTAGTAGTCTCTCTCGCTTCTATTTTTAGGTAGTAAAAACTGGGTGACTTGGGTAGGGTGTGTTTTATATGCTGTATGATAGATAATTAAAGTCTTGAACGGATCCGTAAGTGAGGAATAGTGTGATGGTGTGAGATGTGAATACAGGGTAAGATGTGCATTGAATCATAAACTGGTTACTTGCCTTATTTGAATTTGCTATCGTGTATCGTAGGAACTTGGCTCAGCCAGGCCGCTAGTGTGGCTATAGTGTATTTTCAGGATAGATTGTCGTGATGGTAAAATGAAATCGCAGATCAAAATGTATTCTTTTCTTGAAGTTGGGGGTCTGATTGAGGTGATTTGATTGAGGTGTTGAGAGCAGGCTTAAGCATTTCAATATTTACGAAATAAACGGAATATTAAAATCAGATTGCTTATTCAAACTTGGATTAATAATCAACAATCCAACATTTTCCATTGAAACTTGAATATAAAGATCTAAAAGTTATCTATCGTAGATAGTGATTGATAGAAAATCATGAATCTTGTTATATCTTTTAAACGAATTCCTCTCAAAATGTGAGATCGAGTTAGGTGCTTTGGAAGATTTTTTTGATTTTGGTGGTTTGACGTCCCATTTTTACCGTTCACACCAAGGCTGTGTGAAAACTTGGTATGCGGCACACATTGAGAACCACAGCAAGTAAATAATGTTGTTCTATACTGGTTTTTTTTCTCGACTGCAACGCTGCATGCAATCGTTTATGGAATGTCCTCGCACCTCTTACTTGAATCGGATGGAGGTACGTGTTGCACCGTGCATGCACATATTGGACCTGACTACTTCAGCAATTCATCTTCATACTGAGAACCAATTGATGTCCCGGGTTACGTTAGCGTGGTAATCATACCCTGTTATCTCTCCATGCTGCGTGGCATTTTAATCACGCTCGCCAACTATTCTTATGCCGGCAATAATGGGTTTTCAGCTCTGCGGGATGAGGCGAGGGAAAGCCGCCAACTTAATTTTGCTACTTCTTTCTTTGCTCCATTCTCTCTTTTGTCGTCATATTTTGATATCGGAAGACTTCATCGCTAATTTATGATGGATCGTGAGGACGAAGCGCAAGAATTGCCAGCGGGAGGTGGAGAAGAACATGAAGAGGTTGTAAAGTCGCAAAAAGAAAACACAGAAGAGGATGAGGATGACGATGAGGAGGGTGGCGAAAAGAAAAACGATACCCAGGAAAGTGACGACAAGAAACCTGATGACGAGAAAGTTATGCCTAAGAAATTCTGGATTACGGAACTGCCAGACCCAGAAGATGCTGAATTCAGGAAATACACTCATCGTTAGTTATCATCCCATTTATCTCATCTGTACTGAACATCGATTCAAGGCACCCCAGTTGAGGGTACCCATGATTTCTCAATTTACGAGCCGGGGGACAAGCAATGCAGTGTGTGGGAATCACATCCAGATCATGAGTGTTACTCATCGTTTGGAGATGGAGGGACAACAGCAACTGTGAATGCGTTTGGGCAACTCATGCAATTCAGCACTTATCTTGGCCCAGGAAAATCTGGCATGTTTTGTGTAGACCATACATCTATCTCTATGCCCTACTATACTTCGTACAGAGCGAATCAACTGAATGAGATGTCCCGAGCCCGCAATCGAGGCAGGATGACGTACGGTGTATATTTTCCAGATCTAATTCTAGAAGATGATTTGGTCCGGAAATACGTACACTGTAGGTGGCCGCGGTATGAATACGAGAGCGAAAAGGCCAAACTCGTCAATCAATGGATGGTGCATGATGGAGTCGTTTTACAGCAGTGGCGGTTCACTAACCTCGACACCGAAGAAGTATCAACCAGAATTGCGTTTTCGAAAGACATGCAAATTCGGGACGTTCAGTATCAGGAATGGAGTTTCTTCGACTCTTCTAGGGATACAGATATTAACCACCACTTCTTGGGACCGGAAAGTTATAGCTGGATAATCTTGAATGGATTATGGAAGGATGACTCAACTAACACTGGAGAAGCTAGGCCAATAGACAATTCTATCAGAGTGATCGTGTCTGTATTCATTGACGGTGTTGCCATGAAGTTGCACTCTAGCGAGGAATGGAATTTAACTGTCGAAATTCAACAAACTAAAGAAATGGTTGTTGCATATAAGTTGGTATATTCAACGTCGGAGATTACAAATGATTGGAAACAGTTTTTGGTGGAGGCGGATAAAGCGAATGTCAATAATCTGTTATTAAAAGAGTTTGAATCGACGCAATATCGTCCGATACCACTTTCCAGCCTTAGAGATTCCATACCCAATGTCTCTGCTAGTGAAACTACGGCGTGGGATAAGATCAAGAGTAACCTTGACTTCATTTTCCAAAGGCATCTGGAACATCTTCTCACTGTTTGCGCGATTCCCATTACCTCGTGCCAAGGTAGAAATAATACGTCTGCTGTAGCCTTGACGTGTGGGGATATATCAGCTCATCGGATCTGTACTTCAGCTAGTTTGTGAGTTTCTTTTTGCAAGAAATTTACTCGGTTTCTATAGGCTAATGGTTGAATTTCTAGCTTTGCGTTTCTGTTCCTTCTCCAAGCAGACTCTCATCTACGATCAATCGAGTCGCCTAATGATACATACGTTTTATCGCTTCGAGATAGAATTAAAAAAGTATGTAAAGGACATTTGATATGGTTAAATGATGCAGAGCTGTCAGGAGATCATCTCTTTGAGTTTGGCTACATGGCTAATGGGAAAAGAATATTGGCAAACGGAGGACCGAGACACGCTAATGAGTGGCCAAGGAATATTCTTACAGATACAGCATTCCAAATCATCAAGGCAGGGGAATTTGCCGAACACTACAGTAAAGACCCTGGCAAAAACGAGTGGCAGCTGGCTCGCGAATTTGTCGGGCAAATTTATAGAAATTGGATAACGCATCTAGATAAATTCGATGGGAGAGGCAAGTTTGTATGGCCTCGATCTCGACGTGAGGAGTTCGGTGTCTTCCGCCTAGATGATCATGTCTGGACTATCGAGGCTCTTAAGATAGCTGAACCCATGATCTCCCCCAAAAAATTAGAAGGAGATATCCCAGAACAAACAACTGGGGCCTCAACGAGGCCAACTAAGTCAGTTTTGGCAAAGGAGTATTCTTTCGCCAATACAAAGCGGGAAGTCGTACAACGATTTACCACCCAAAATCCAAATTACCAATCTAAAAAGATAATGCTAGCTGTGACAAGATCCGTACGGGAATCCAGATTCTTGTTTCATGCGCGAGATACCGCTCTCTTTTACGCCTCCGATCGAATTGACTGGAGTGGGACACGGTTTAACGAGCTGTTGAGAAATACCATTGACTCGCAACCACATCATATGGACAATGAAGACTCTGGCTGGGATAACACACTTCGCTATGGCTTAGCCATCATTATGGGCACTTGTGGGTACGAAATCAATGCAAAGTCGTCGTTTGAATTGGTCCAATCATCTGTCGATGTCCTTTTTGGAAGCTTTAGTTCCAACGGGTTTGTTCCGGGGCAGCTAGATAAGGACACGAAGGAGCAAGCTTTATTCCAACTGAAAGAACACGCAGACTCCTATTATCACGCTAGTTTTGAGATACCCTATATCCTTCTTCAATACGCTACCAAAATATACGGTCTATATGAAACGCAGCTTTCGGAAACAACAACTTCGGGCTCCTCAACTACTACAAAATTAATGACCGATCTTGATAACCTTCAACACACAAAGCTTCAGCGACGTGAGAGCATCTTCGACACAACTCTACTCTCGATACTGGCAAATGAACAAAACCAACCAGCAAAAGTCGTAGATACTATGAGAGCTCGGGTAAATGTTACCATGAAAAAGACCACCCCTTTCAATGACTTGATCGATATAAAAAATATTGTAGACCGTGATGATGAATGGCTTTACAATTATCCCTCCATATTTTCGAGAAAGGTCAAAATCGATTTAAAAGAGGCACTAGAGTCGGCAAAAGCGGGAGTGAATTATTCAGAAATTGGTAATTATGTCATCAGAAAGGAACTTGACAATTTGGAGGGAGATATTCCTGATTTACTTGCAAGGTGCAATTCCTGTTTTGTTGTTGATACAAAAAAAACGAAACATCTCGGGAGAGGGGATGGGCAAGGTGACCTAAGCCCACTATATTACCATTCCATCATCTGGTATACCCTCGGGAGCCCTCGTACTCCAGAGCTAGCCAAGAAACGCTTGATCTGGATGCCTCTGGTTGGTGAGTTTCAAGCTTCTTTGTGCTACTTGGCCACTCCTGAAATCCATCAGATATCGATCTCCTCGTTTTTTGATCGACACGTGAAAAATGAAAGTTACTTCTTTGAAGATACAGCTTCTTTAGCAAATTCATGGGAGACTGAGTTCCATCTGAGTTTCTATTCACTCATCGATTCAAATTCCAATCATGCTGAAGGAATAGCTACTTCATCTGCGGAAGAGTTCCCAGGTGGTAATCAAGAAAAGAAGATCGCTCTTGCTTCTATGGGCTTCCGCTTTGATGGCGATATTTTTGATCGATATTGGACTGGTTATTTGTTGGAGAATGTTCCAGGTCTGTACAGAGAGGACGTAATTGACTATTATCCAGGCCAAGGCCACCAACCCTTGTTCATAGAATCAAATGATAAAGCCTACAGACAGAGAAAGGTACTCGAGTTGCAATTCTTTGATCGGATGATAAAACAAATGGTCCGATGCACGCAAGAAATATCTTACTCGATTAAAGAGGAGTTGGGAATGAAACAGGGCGCTTTGTCATCTTCCATTCTGAGCAGTGATGATTATTTTGCTTCGAGTATTCTTTGGAACAAATATCAACACATCTTACATGTTATCGAGGAGGAGCTCGATTCTGCAATCCGAGTCATCGGGAAATGGGAGAAGAGGGAGGATGACCGAAAGGGGGAAGAACCTCGCTGGACAAGAAATGACGAGATAAAGTATCGCGGTACTATTAACAAATTTAAAAGTTCTACGAAAAGGCAAATTGTGGACCTAGATGGTGCATATAGGAATATCAAAACTCTAAGGGAAACTATCGAAAATAGCCAGGACCAAGTAAGAGCAACTTTTTTACTTCCCCCTGAATCTGGTGTTTGTCGTATGTCATCTTTGATTGCGAAATCTATCTGAGAACAGTTACTGACACACCAAATCAACTAAAGATTCGCAATGACTTGAGCCTTCAAGGGTCCGAGAATATTCGATTCTTCACTTATGTTACTGTCGTTTTCCTGCCTCTTGGGTTTGCAACAGGTATTTTCAGCATGAGCGGTGCGCCTGATGGGAAGGTACTTAGCAGTATGGCAATTTGTGCTGTTGTCGCTCTCCTCCTCACGGTACTCGCCTTACTCAACGCTAAACAACTAGCTAAGATCGTGGATGACCTGTTCTCGGTGTATCACAGACATTCTCAAGCAAAAATGGAAAGGAGTCTTATAGTCTACGATAAGAAGAAGCGGCGAAACACCTCTCAGGACGTTGAAGGAGCTGCCGTTGAAGAGGCTGACAAAAATCATGATCGAGTCAAGCGTACAATTCCTCATCGCAAACAGCGCGAAACGCCTTCAAAGGTTGAGACTTGGACTCTTTTATTCTGGATTCACTATTTTAGCATTGAGCTTCCCGCCCGACAAGTCTTACTGGCATCAAACAGCTTGAAATCTGGAAAACCTACAGTTCTAACTCCGATATATGTATTGCTTGGTATTGTATTTCTACCGATCTTCATCTTATCTTGTCTCTTCCAGCTTATCATATATAATTTGGCAGATTTTATGGCAGCAATTTGGGGCAAGTCCTTATATCTTGAGAGCAGATTCGATTTTACTAACAAGCTATAGAACTCATGCTGTTCCAACTTACTCTATCATCAACAAAAATGAAGGATTCAAACAAAAAATATAAAGAGCGCCTGAACCTACTCACACATCCGCCAAATGCAGCTCGTCCTATAAAGCTGTTAATCAACAAGTTCAAGGGATGGCGAGAGAGACTGGAGAAGGATCAGGAAAGTGAAAGTGAGAGGGAGAGGGAAAAGGAAAAGGAAAAGGAAAAGGAAAGGGAAAGGGAAAGGGGCCAGGAAGATATTTGGGGAAGAACGGAGAGAACGCTGCTCGAACTGATGGATTCATAAAATCATTAAGACAATCATTCAGGGGGCTCATAGATTTCTACGTTGTCATAGTCTCGTTACAAACCGCACGCCCTATGGCATTAGAATTAGTAGATCACACACAAACATGCATTTAGTGGCTTAGGGATTTCACAAGTCAATTTCAGACATTGTTCATTTCTATCCAACGATAAGACACTCTTCAATATTATATCTACTCCATACAACAAATGTATGAAACAATTAAATGCCTAGGTAAACCATCCTTAAACATCCACCAGTTTTCTGCACGTCGCGAAGTGCAAGTCAGGCCATCGAACACACTGATCTTGAGAGATTGGACGAGATTGTCTTCTAGTGCTGCTCAATAATGAGACAAGAGAGTTGCAATAGCTTAACCCAGACTTATTCGTGTAATTTCACACACATTTTCCGCCCACCTCCTCCACTGACAAAAAGCAAACACACATATCAAAAAAGAAAATATTTATGGTATCATCGAGCATCCATTCCATCCCAGTTCCAACAAAAAAACCCAACCCGTCGCAACTATGCCTACTGAATCGTAGCCTCACTTTTTTCTGCGATTTCCTTTTCGCTACCCCCGACTGGCGTCTCAGTTCCATCATCCTTGACTCCCTCTACATACGTAGCTTCTGGCCTATGATGTCTAATTGGATGTTGCTTTCCAGTAATATCCAAATAAATCGCCTTTGCCGTCCTCGCCAATGAATGTCTCCCCTCGAATACAGGATAAACACCCACCGTCAATGTACTACCTATCAACCAAATAATACCTACGACAACCCAACCGGTAAAGAATTTCTCAGAGAAGATATAGCCGCTGCCGTACATGGGCATGGGCCATAAGATCAACAACGCGAGAGTCAGGACGACAGTCATACCCTTTGCGATTTTTGAAGCGCGGAGAAGTTTAGTTTGTTCGAGTGCTTCTTCTGCGGCTGAGGCGCGCGTTTCACCTGGGACGAGTTCGAGATCTACATCGGCTGCATCGGCTAAATCGTGGTCATCGCCTCTACGGATAGCGGCCATGGATTTCCAGTCGTATTTATCCCAGCCGAAAATTAAGGTGAAGAGAGGAGTGAAAATAAGAGGTGAAAGAAGCGCCGTGACATTTCCTGCTAACATGGGGTTGTTGGAACCGGTGCAATCGACGTCGAGGGAGCCACATTCTTTCTTGGCAGTGACGAGCCATGCGATAACAGCGCAAATGAGACCGAGAGGTGGAGTAAGTGCGGCAGCCCAACGATTGTGGCCAGCCCACATGATTGTTAGAGTCGCGGGAATGACAGCAGAGGAGATGATTACACCCATCATGAGGTAGAGATAACCCATGGAAATACCAGCATAGTATAAACCAGTTGAAAAAGCAGCCATGAACAAACCAAATCCAATGACCATAGCATGACTCATGTAAATCAGTCTCTTTCCACTTGCTTTTGGGTTGAAATATGTTTGATAGATATCATATGTGAAGATTGAAGAAACGGCGATGAGTTCGGCAGAAGATGCTGATGTGACGGCCATGAAGACAATCAGAAGCGTGCAAACGGCACCACCACTTCCGAGGATGGCAACGGCGGCGTATGGAAGTACAAGACCTGCTGAGACATCGGCGGGATCCATACGATTAGGATAGGTAGGGAAGACTGGATTGCCTTCTAGAGCAATGGCTGCTAGACCCATAGTTGTAGCACACAGCCATGGAATGGCAAACCAAGAGATTCCACCCATGATATAACCTGGAAGCGCATGCACTGGGGATGCAGCAATTGCCTTGTTGTAGTATCCATTATCCAAGAAGACAGTTCCAAAATTTCCAACGATATTGATGACGAAGAAGATGGCACCTTCTGAAGATTTCATAGTGAGATAACTACCGCCGGAATTGCCTTCGACTGGATGATCGGCCGCTGCTTTGAGTAAAAGATCGAATACTGCTTTTGGCGATCCGAGTACGTCACTTGTAGCGTAGGTGGTGAATGCGAAAATCAGGATAATGATTAAGAGCATAAACGTATGAACCCAATCAGTGAGGAAAGTAGCTTTAATACCACCGAACATGGTATACATAACTACACCCAATGGTAGGAGGAAACAAGCTATATGATGTAAGTAAATGGGAATCTGATATCATATGATTCTCTTACCAGCAGGAGTGGGCATTCCTGTTAAGGAAGATACCACAGCAGCACCACCTGTCAAAAGCATCGCAGTGACAAGGATATTGGTCATTAAGCCAAAGACCGTAAACACGATATGAGCATGTACCCCATATCTAGCTTTGATAACTTCAAGGAAAGTCTAAAATCCATCAGTATGTTTCTGTACCTGGCAGATTTCCAAACCTACATGAGCATTTGGTGCTCTCCTCTTCAACTCAATGGCAATAGTTGCGAACAATAGAATCTGAACCGTGGCTCCAGATGCATACCAAAAAGGCCCCGAAACACCATATTTATATGCGACACCAGAACTTTGCAGTAATGTAGCAGCCCATGTCCACGAAGATACAACCGCAGATGCCACCAATCCCGACTTTACTGTTCTTCCAGCTGTACTAAACATCTCTGACGTTTGTAATTCGTGGTTGTATCGTTTGAGAATCCATGTTACAAGGATCTAATTGATTCAAAAAAGTCAGCTTGAGACTCAATTGCAGCAATTGGGTGGAAAACTTACCATGCCAAATGCGAATAGAGCACCCAGACCAAGAACGATTCCATATCCCCAGCCAGAGCTGAGTGGAGGTGAGATAGGCATGTTGGCTGAAGAGAGACAACCGTCCTCAATGCAATGGATGAAATGTCGTTTTCACAAAGTTAATGAGAATCTACACATGTGGCACAAGGGGGGACAGAGCTGTTATTATATCATATCATATCATACTAGGTACATGGAGATATGCGACTAGGATATTACATTTCGGGGTAATACTGATATCTGTGATACTGACCAGTCACCGAAGTAAGAGCTGAAAAAGAAGGGGTGACATGATACCTTGATTTTTTTTTACCTTGCATGAGTTACTCACCATATAATGGATAAGAGATCTGAACGAGAGAAAACGGTGATCACCATCACAGTTTGAACTTTGTATAATAGATAAGGTTGAAGAATGATAATTTTATCAAATAAAACATATAGAATTACCTAGGAGTTTCCCTAAACCCTTGCTATCTCACTGCATCATCGGGAGCTTGGACATTGGGGGTTAAGCGATCTGTACGATAGACAAAAGACTAACTCTTGATTGGCTATTTTTCAATTGATAAGAAGCAATTTTCAAAAGCCATCGATAAGGAAATTGGAACTGATGGGAAAAATGTGAGAAGACATGCAAAGACAGGGGGAAAGGGCAGAAGTCATCATTGGACAGTGACATCGAGTGGAGTAAGACCAAGAAAAGGCAATACCATAGAAGATTGTTTAAAGCATTCCGATACCGCAGACATATACATACTCTAATGAAAATTGAGTCGATGAGGTGCTCGATATGCTTAATACAGACTTCTGCTTTATCAGATACGGTGTGTTCCGATGAACCATGGGTCTCTTGACCCCACGGAGAAATTCATCTCTATGCGGGATGCAAAAAAGTAACTGCATCTTGCATATCGATTCTAGACCATGTCAGATGTTTGCGTTGACAGCTTCTCTAATAAATGTGCCAATCGCAGAAATGATCTTCTGGAACACCAATCAATAAGAGGATGAATCAATCATCCCACCAAAGACAGATTGATTATCGTCCCTTTAGATGGCAGACTCCAAATAGTTGCCATTGGATATCAGTCCGGATAATTGGCTTTGATTAATCCCGAGGAGTTACTTAGTGTTCATCTTGAGAATATTCAAATATCCAAGAGATGACATTTCAATCTCCTTTTCATTAACAATGGTCAATTCACATCTCGCAAAGTCAAACGAAGAGCAACATGTCAACAACAGGAACCTGAGACTTCAGGACATAGAAAATAACTATCTCATTAATAATTCTTCCTAGGAATATAAGACCAATCAATTCTTGCCCAAAATCAAGATATCACCAATAGTATCAACCGATTCCGATTTCCGTTATAAAACTCCGTACCGCGCCCACCGAACCAATCCTCTTTCCAGTCTGAGTGACCTGGATCGCATATTTGTTGATACAGTCTTGAAATATCCTCAACCCAAACTCTCCCTCTAGCTTTGACCGTTTCCTAATCCACCTCTCTCAAGCGGTATGTTATGCGTACTGCATAGGTTGTTGTGGTTTCCCACCTGGCGGACCTCCTCCCCAACCAGGATTCGCAGGACCACCACCACCGCCGCCGCCGCCACCTGGGGGTTGATTCTGTAATGGCACTTGGCCTCCTCCGTTTATCTGGGATTGAACATCTGGTCGGTTTTGAAGTGGTTGTGCGAAATTGCAGATAGAGCAGACAACATCTTCGTAAGCATGGAAGCTCAATGGGAGAACTGGGATGAAGCAGAATGTGAACCAGGGATGTCTCTTTATGACTTTCGCAGAATAATTTCCCTATTCATATAAATTAGTTGTTGAAAGAGCGGAACGAACAGCATCGAAGACCTACACAATTATGACATTGGCATAACACATTCTCGTATCCCTGAAGTTGCGATGAGAACTCTATGTAGTAAGTGTCAGCTAAAGAACCATCAAAGACTCTGAGTGATGGAAGCTCTCATACCATGTTCTCCACAGGTGAAAATAAAGCACATATTGATGGGATCCGCTTTCTGAGGTTAACGTTGATAGAGTTATATTTCCCCAGGAATTCGATCAATTTATGATGAACAATGAATAGTAAAAATACCCAGCTAATATGGGAGAGAGGCGCGTCATATAATCACCAGCAAGGATTATGGATTTGAGGCTGATTGAGGCTGTGCACAATATTGTCGGGATTTCAAAATGACATATTTCCGTTGTACATCTTGGCATGTGACAGGGCTTTTGATTGGCGCTAAAGCTACGATTGACGCTAAAGAATTTCTTAGCGAGCTTTTTTAGGATGCAGTCATAAACTGAGAAACTTTTACTGAATCTCTTTCTCTTTTCTCCTCAAGCGTCGTCCTCATCAACGCTGCGTTTCTATGCTACAAACAGATAAGCTTGTTCATTCAAGATTATCAGATCGCTTGCGATTAATTATTTGCATATGAGAAATTCGGAGTACTCTTCAATTTACCTCGTTCCTTTTCCTTCGGGCAAAGATGAACAGGTCTGCCCGTGAGGGTTCGGCGTGATTTCACGTCTGCAATTGGCATCAGAAAAGCAGGGCATGGTCACTCTATACATATCACTTCCGAAAGGAGGAGAGAAAATAGTCGTGTACTATTGTTCCTTTGGGAGAGCCGTTGCGAAGATTGTGTGTGCTGAGGCATGACACTTAAGTGCAATACGTGGCGTGCTGGACTTGTTATTACTCCGGTATGACAAGTTGAGTACAATTCGATTCCGATTACTCTGTTGAGGACGACGCTTCACCTTTTTTTTCTTCAGGTCAGTAATCATATTTCACCCTGTGAGTTGGGATACTACTAATGATTTCGAATCTTTGTTTCGATATTTATTACTCCAAAACAAGTATTGCTCGACCTTCTTTCGAAGTCAACGAATGCCACCTTTGCGAATCTGCCATCCGCCAAAACCAATCGACATTCTTATTGCAACGATCTATGACGAAACCGAACTCTCTACGCTTTCTCCCTCCTTCTCATTCGCATACAATTTTTTATTGCCCTCTAGCAAAGTGTACAGCCCATTCAATTCGTCCAAAAGGGCTTCGCAGTCTTGACTTCCATCCCTAGCTCTCTGAAACAACTCCAGAATCTGCCGACCTGTGGTATCGATCTTTTCCTTCAATCTTTCCGATGCTTTGAACACAGTTGCGCTCGATTTCTCCCCGACGGTCGACACACGTGCCTGCTTTAAGGCTTCCATGACTTGTGCGATTTGGTGATTGAGTTGCTCATACAGTGTATCTTCCGAATCGTTCACTTTCTTGGTGTTGGCATCTTGATCTGAATTGCCATATCCTGCATGTTGATTCAAATCTTCCGCCTGTTCTGGAATTTTCGATACACTGTCCAATTTCAAAGCCCATAGTTGTCTCAGGATTCTTTCTGGTGTATAAGTTTTGACGCTTTGAACGTCGGCATCATACTCTTTAAGAACTCCCGAGTAAATGACTCCTGCCTCCTTGATCACAGTACGCAGTTTCTTCATGGCTTTTCCAAAAGGCAAAGTATCCTTGTGTCTCGCGTCTTCATAGTCACTGCTTGAGTCGAATATAGAGTCTGTGCTCTCTTGACTCAATATTCGCCCTCCATTCTTGGTCGTTCTATCGAAACTTCTGCTCAGTCGAAATTCGGGTTCGTATCTTTCACGGGCAGCTCTTCTGAATGGCTCTGAATCATATACGAAGTAAGGATTGGTGGCTCGACGGTATTCATCGTACAATGATTCAAATCTAGACTCTCTCCCAAAAGGTCGAAGTCGATGTTCAGTAGGTCGATTCATTTTATCACGTAGAGGTTGACAAAGCGTGTTCGCTGGATCTCAGGGTGAATCAGTAGCATTCAGGGGGAAAAGTAGGGATTATGTGAGCTCGTTCTCAATAGGGAGGATGATGGTGGCCTTTGAGCCAATTTCTGTCGTTTGACTTGTATGGATCGGTTTCCAACATGAAATCTCACACAATTGACTTCCATGATTGGCTGAGCATGTTACCGTGCATATCTGCATATACCCTAAGTCTGGTAGACACTGTCAAATTTTAGAGACTATGATGAACAAATTATTTACCCATTACAAACGGTCCCTCCAATGAATTTTCGTGAAAGAATACCCATTTGACTCAAATCCGTAGTTGTTTCCTTCATATGCAGAGTCCCGCCGCTAGTAAACCTTACCCCGCCATTCATCGTCATGCTTAGAAATACAAGGACCTCAAGCCATTATCAATCAACATCAAACCCTAATACAATCAGTAAATCATAAATGAAATCACAATTCTTTTCACCAAAGATTCTCTGTTGTTCATCATTGTTCCATAAACCGTCCATTTTCTTGCACCCTCAATATATCAGACCCAGGAGATTCTCAAACACAATGTCTGAAGCAAAGGAATTCCCGCCACAGAAAGTAAAGGAAGTGGTGAATGAAGTTGCAAAATTATTGAAGGAGAGAGGGGAAACTGTTAGTGTAGCTGAGACGGTATGTTTTATTTGCTCTTTTGTTGTTGATGTTGATGGTTAGGGTTTGTGGTGTGTGGAGTGTGGTTTGGAGTGGAAGTTAGAGTGAGAGTTATGTGATTGTTCGGGAGGTTCGGGAGGAAGTCCTGTTTTTTGCTTTGTGGTCTGGATTATTGCTTCTTGGATATCTGGGTGTGATCCTGTTGGCTTGGGAAGCGGGAAATAGGAATTGAGGATGTCTAAGCGGATGAGTGATGGGAGATAGAATGTGTATGGAAAAAGAAAAAGGGCAAGAATCTAACATGAAACAGGCAGCGGGAGGTATTATATCCGCTTCTATTCTCAGTACACCCGGTGCCAGTAAGGTGTTTAAAGGTGGTCTGACGGTGTACACGCTGGAATCGAGAATAGCTTTTGGTAATTCCAGTTTCTTCATTTCATAGTGTGATTGTTGAGCTTTCTCTTATGTTTCCAAATACTGACATACCCACAAGCCGGTTGGACCCCAGAAAACATAGCTTCGTATAGTGGACCTACACCAGATGTGGTAGCAGGTATTGCGGAGAATGTGAGGGGAAAATTGGGAAGCACCTATTGTGTTTGTGAGAGTGGGACTGCAGGACCTGGTGCTAGTGGAGAAGGGAGGAATAGACAACCGTAGGTTTCTTTTTCTTCTATCCCCTTTGCAGTTTCATCTTTTATGATTTTGTCGTACTTGATTCTTCCATCCCCGGGAAGTGCGGGAATAGGTGATGGTATGATAAATAAGACAAAAATACATCATGGATGAATGCTAACACATGCTACAACGAAAAGAGGATATGTAGCCCTAGCTATCGCAACGGAAAAAGGAACGTATAAGAAAGATTTGAGTACGGGATTGGGTGGTAATAGAGAGGGAAACATGGTTGCGTTTGCAAAAGAGGCATTGGCATTTTTGAGAGATGTTTTGAAGGGTGATGCGAAGCTTTAAGTTGGGAGTTTATAAGTGAGGGAGAAAGTGATATATCAGAATTTCAATGAACAAAATTTGGCTGGAATTGATGGTGAAAATGGAATGAGATATGAAAGAGGTTGTAAGCTTCAAATTTCCCAGTTGCTCGTCTATGTCCATGAATTATCCCACTCGTCTTCCTCAATTTCCTTGCTCCCTAGTTCCAATTCTATCCAAAATCACCCTTTTCTTACTTTTCCCTCCTCCTCTCTCCCCCCTCAACTACAAAGAAACAGATTCGGTTCCCTCCAGGGACCATCCATCCCACCATTCACATTCTTCTCCGCAGCCAAGCTAACTCCACATCCCCATGCCCTCTCCATCTCCCCTCCCCCAACAAACCCATCCCTCTCACACCCACTCCCCAACACCATCTCCTCCCTCTCACACCCACTCCCCAACACCATCTCCTCCCTCTTCTCCCTCCTCTCCAACAACGTAAACCCCGTCTCACAATCCCCATCCCCATTCCCATCAGTCTCCCTCTGCTCCTCAGTCCCCATCATCCCCTTACATTTCTCCCCCATCCACTTCCCCTCCAACCCCCGCATCCACAACAATCCCACCCTTTCCCTCCTCTCCACAGCACCAAACCCATATCCCAGAAACGAACCAGCGAGGAAAATAAACACAATAAACACCAAGAGCGAGGTATCGCTTCTGCGGGTGTTATAAACTGTACACGCAGATGTATCTTTATAGATATCGTCATTTACAAGCGTTCCGTTAATGAAGAGCGAGGTTCCGGTTATGAAGAGAGATGTATTGTTTAGAAGAATCGATATATTAGTGGAATCCATGGTTTATTTGAGTAGGTGAGATCTCTATCGATTACAAGTCTTTGTGTATAGAAATAACGAGTTGATCTGATAAAGTAGAGTAGAGCAGAGGAGAGGATTATTTTCAGGTCATACAGTCAGTGAGTACCTATATAAAGAACCCGATGAATTCTCAACTGACTTCCTATCTCAACCGAAGAAGGTAACTTTACAACCCGCCTCCAAAACAAAAAAAATCTGAGACAAGATCAAGAGATCTAGACCGGTAACTAGTAAATTCCCGTAGCGTACCTCAAATCTGGTACGCCCATGCTACGAGTACTCAATCACATTATGCGAAGCAAAAAGAAAAAAGAAAGTTTTTCTTCTTCTTTTCCTGAAGAAAAGATAAGGAAATCATGATTTCTTCTTGTACCAAGGTAGAGTTAAACATCTCCCAGCCTCGTCGTAAATGTTATGGCTGGAATTTGGAAACATGCGAGAGGTGCGATATCCTCGCTTGCACATCGTCTATTCTTTTCTGGTGTCTATGTTGGGATTAATTACCTAGTACATAAGATCTTACATTGTCTAGATCGCAGTGAATCGTTGAAAGGCTTTACGACATACCTACTAGATACTAGGTGGCTGAGTTCAGCTTGACTTGTTGATTGTATATCGAGCATGGCATATTTTCTTGCGATATTTAACATTGATAATTCAGTGCTTAAACTATTGGAGATGGATTACTAGACTCTCAGGAGGTAAAATTTTACTTTTCTGTAAAATGGGTCGGTTCTCAAAGTTAATCCAACATTCTACATGTCTATCTGAATCAAACACCAGAGCGAAATTGGCCACACATTATCACAATATATTTTATCCCAGCCACACGATAGATTGACGATGGTGGCAGACTTTATATATCCACGTCGATATGTATTATGCAGAGAAGAACAAAAAAACGCACGAGATCAAAGGTGTGAGAGGCACAAAACTTTCGTTCCTTCTTCAAAAACTTCTTATAAATGATACATATGTATTAAACTATACATACGACCCGCGGTAATTGATACCACAAACCCATATATCCATAACCTGGACCCACGAACTATTGTCGAGTATTTTGTTCTGTAAAGCCGAGCCCTCATTCCATTCCCATAACTCCGTTGATCGTTTGCCCGTATTTAATCTCGTGGCGACCTTGTAACCCAAGAAGTGATCATAGCCATGAACACCTAACAAAAATCCAATCTTATTGTGTAGATTGTGATGTCGTATAATGAACGCCCACCCGATACCCCAAATATTCAATCCCACAACGGGCTGTGCTTCAATGTCTCTTGACCCGACGATAGTGACGTCCCGTTTCTTTCTTCATCTTCCCTTCGAACCATTAAAGGTAAAGTTCGCTCAACCACCTTGGACATTTACGAGCCCTTTACATACACCATAACTACAACACGCGCTTGGATCTAAGGTTCCTCTGAGAACAAGATCTCTTGTTGCCTAGTTATCCATGTTAGTTTTGAATTCTCAATTACGGGAATATGTAAGGATGAAAGAGATTGTGGGAAGATAAGAAGGGCGGAGAAAGAACTTACATCGCTGCAAGGCATTGGTGTGGCTGTAACGAGTGAAAAGGTACTGAGTACAGCAGCTGTCACGAAGAGAAAGGTCGACGAGAGTTGCATTTTGAGGTTTGAAGTCGAAGACTCGTATATGAGAGGATTGGTATGAATATATGTTCGAGATATTATAGAAAAATATCCTTGGTAGGTGGATAGTCCGTATGTTTTCAAACTATCAAATGTTTCAATCGCGTCGAGCAATGAACGAAACAAAATCCGGATGTAGGATTTTGAAATGAGGTTGAGGTATACCAAGACGAAGAAACCCCCAAAGCGGATGTCTCTTATATCTATACTCTTCCCCTCCCTCAACAAAACAAAGAAAGAGTCGTACGGATAATCTCCCAAGTAAATCGTTACCAATCTAGACTTTACCCCACAAAGATGTAACCCAAGGCACTGGCCCTCCGCGAAAAAAAAATGCTCAGGACTCAGACGAAGATGAAACGGCTTCACAGATAGACCTGCAGCAAAGCGGGGACGGTAAATGCAATTGAATGGATAAGGCAGGTCCAAGATTAAGTGCAAGACAAACGATGGAATATGATTTGATCCGTGAAGAAAGATGTCGAACGTACGGAAGCTCCAGAAACGGAGATCGTCCATTCTTATACCTGCCACCTACCTATCTCACTCATCGTATCCCGATCTTCAAGACATCATGCTAGATAGTCGTTGACAGACCGTAACCGGGCCACCCACGTCAAACCCCGTCGTTCCCGCGCGGGTCCACCATGCAAGGCCTTTGTATAACTTTGTACATAGCCCAATTGGATAAATGAGTGAGGTCAATCTGCTCTGCAGGCTGTTTTCGGCCTTTCTTTGACTTTGGATTGTGAACTGACTGGGAACACGAACCAGTTTTTGCTTAGCAGACGGACCATCCGAACGAGTGCATCCATGAATAGTTAGTCTGTGTGGCTCAAGCATGTAATTTTTGCTCAGGTTTGAAGCCACAGCCGAAAAGATTCGATTGGTTGATGGCCCGGGGATGCATGTGGAATGAATTGGGATGATATAAATAGACTGGTGGCTGAAGATGTCTGTTTGCGGTGAATTTTCGAAGAGAAAGTAATGGCCGACCTCGGGAACCATCTATCATATGGATTCATTTGAATTTGCTGATCAAGATGATATGACCTCATCTGCAATATAATAATATGAGTGATGTGCAATTGGTATGCTGGTATCGGTTGGCTTGAATATCCACCTACCTTGATACATTGATTACTAATGAAATACGAGCATGCATCCATTTTCACGATGTTGATAGCGCACGAATAAAGGAGAGAATCGTTAAAAAGATTTAAAAATTAACTTTAGACTTAACTTTAGCATTGGAGTCTAACCTGAAGCCGGAGAAACTTTGACTGTCTGTTCTGCTTGTATACTAAAGTAGTTCCCTTTTTCTTGGGTTCATTAATAGACAGAAGAAAGTCTTCACTTCTTCACATATCCATTGGTACACGCTCCAGAACCTCACAATGTCATTTTCACACATGTAGAATGCTCTCGTATCACCGTAGTCACCTCCTCGTATCATTCTGTCTTGTCTCGGAAAATTCAATAGTACTGTCAGCTCTCGTATATCCCAAGCATGCCGGCTGGCTGCGTCGCTGGGTATTAGCATGGAGTGATTGACAGGAGAATGCCCACATTGACTCGTAGCCCCCCACGCCACATACATGACTAAAGTCAATAGTAGCCCACTGTTAACTCGACACAGTAAAGTAAAGGGATCTGGAATTCCGTCTTTGCTTTGTCTTTAGGGGTGTACTTCGTACATAGAACTTTTCACTCGGGATCACTTTACTAAGTTTAACATATCAAGGGTCTGTCTCTACGTCGGGGGAAAACAGACCGGGCCTGACCACATCGACACTTCGAGTATCTTCCTCGGTTGTTCTGTGAAATATACTTTCAATTAAGTTTCAAGAAAATCAAAAGCCAATCATTCTTTCTTTCAACCCCTTCAAATACATTTGTTTCACATGTGATTGATTTACCATTCAAATCTTTGCAGCATTCTAGCAAAGATTCGAACAATCGAGTTCGGCTCTTATTTCACCGACATAGGGAGGATTACCCGGATCATGTGATACTAGTCAAGCACCGATCTACCAACACCTTTCATCGTTGGAAGGGATTGGACAATTGAGAAAGAAGATCATCCTTAGTCTACTCCGTGATTATCGCTTTTTCGACAGAGCGTAAAGAGACGAGGAACTCTCAGAAGAACCCCATCATCAAATTCTCAATTCGATTTAGGAACACTCTCCCTTTTAGATAACCTTATGAGATGACTTTCATGATTTTAGCAGGCAAAAGATAAAACATACCTGCCTACCTACATATATACAGCTTGATACACTCACTCATACACACCACCTCACAATATATCCCCATAGTCCCCATCCCCATCCCTGAACTCTAAAACTTTACACACACATGCTCAAATAAACCTTTCCATCAAATCAAAACACAATCTACTCTCTCCCCCTCCCAACTTCCCCAAATACAACCTCCCACATGATCCCATCCCATCCGATTATCCAAAGTATCTCATCTCATCTCATCAGACGACATCACATCACTCCAATCCTCTGCATATGCTGAAACATGCATGCATGCATTCTACCCCCATCCAACCCTCCATCCAATCCTCCCAAACCCCATATCCAAAAACAATCTCCACGTGTCCATTTCACTCGCTTGTTTCACCTTCCCCATCACTGCCGCTCCGAGCATGAGATGATAGGAAGTCGTAGGTATCTTACACCGTTAACAGCGGAGAAGTCCCCTGAAGATCTGTCGATCTGTCGATCAGGATAAAGTTCAGATCAAGTAGTTTGACAAGAAACATGATTCATGCTTCAAGTATTCCAGAAGATTCATTTATTCTTCAACATGTGTTGAAAAGAGTTTGATTTTCCATACCCAATGATATGTCTGTCTAAAACGTATTCGCGTGTATATAAATCTTGTAAAGCCGTTACTATAGTGTCCGTATCCCTTTTCCATCCATAACTTTTCCATATATCATAATTTTCGTAACTATCCCGTTCATCTACATCTATCTCGTCCCTCAGTCCTCTTCTACCAAGCTCTCTCTATCTGCCAAACTTCCTCAGCTCCCACCATCTCAACACGGGGTACACCAATCCGGCCCAAGCGAACCCAACGTAGTTGCCCATATCACCCCCCTCACTTCCTACCATCTTCGCAAGCGGTCCGATAAAGTAATATTGACTCATACACAAAATTGCTCCGACCCATCCTATACAAAACGCCACCAATGCCGCAATTCCCAGCGGCATTTTCTCTTGTTTATGCCAGTCACTCCATACAAACGTAGGATTTTTACGACGTCTGAATATGAATTCTTCTTCCAATGTAATGACAATCCAAAGTACAACCCAATATCCCATCAAGGATAGAAAATTGGTAAAGATCTCAGAAAGATCATTACGTCCTGCAAGTGCGCAGACGGTAAATACTACCACTCCAAATGTATTCCACAAGAATCTCGGAACCATGGCCGGATAACGGCCTAGAATTTGGAAATCAATACCACAAGAATAGGTAGGCGGTACCATATTGGCGATTAGGCCCAACGCAGCAACCACGGAACAAAATTTGCCAAATCCACCTAGACTTTCAAAACCAGCTACTATAAGAGCACCTGTACCTGCACCTGCCGCTTCCCAAGAAGGATTATTAGCGATACCAGATGCGAGACCAGCTCCTATGACAAAAGTGAGTGTGAAGGAGAGAGAAAGACCGAGTAGAGTTGCCGCGAAGACTTTCCATCGAGAAGCAATCTTTGGATCACAGTAGACGAAGAAATCAGCTGCTATAGGAGCATATGTGACTGCGGCGCTAAGACAAATTGAGAAGAATGAAAGTCGGTTCCCGGCAAGCGTTGCGCCTTCAACTGCAGGTTTACTATGGAGGTCAAATTTCGGTCCTGCAGTTCCTGCTAAAATCAGGAGAACAAATGTTTGAGGAATCCAGGCAAATCTCTCATAGTGATGAAATATCTTGATGCCGAATGTTGTGACCGAGAATGTCAAGATAGCTGAAACGACTATTCCAACTTCCACCGAAAGGCTACCATTGGGTGATACAGCAGATAACATTTGACCAGCTACTACTGCATCAATCATAGAATATCCCAGTAAGATTACCACATTCAATATCACACAGATCTTTACTGGCCACCATCCCATTGTGAATCGAGCGCATATCTAAATACTCGGTTAGCCAAATTTCACCTCAGGGGCCGAAGACCTCAATGCCCCAGTAGCAAAATCAATGGCCACACTTAGAAACTCTAACCCTCCACAGGACACATGAACATCAATCGCAATAAAGGAGCCGCCTACCAAAGTTCTATTTCCACTCCAAGGTCCCCAACCTGCCGTATATGCCACCGGTAAAATTCCTACCACTGCCCCAAAAACACTACAAAGTGTCGCATCCAAAAATCCTAACCCATAAACACTAGCCCCAATGCTCGCTAAAGTAATATTTTGCGGCGCAGTATTGATCGAAAACCATAGCACGACAATTTGTAGGAATGATAGAGTAGATTTGGTAGTTTGTTCTGCGGGAAGTACACGATGAATACCCCGCGCTTCCAGACCAAGAAGATTTTCAATTCGTGCAGTGAGAGCAAAGAAACGATTTTGAGGACGAGAGATCGCAGAATCTGTGATATCGCGCGTGGGAGATATCGAGGGCGAAAGAGCGAGAGGGTCGTGAGGGGATGGGAGACCGCTTGAGGGACCTTTCTCTACATCGTGGGAGGGATCCGAGGAGGCGATTTGCTCGTTTAGAGTCATTCTATTGATGCGATTGTCGAATTAGCGATTGTCTCTGCTGCCTTTGCTTTCGCAGATTTATAACGTAAGAGTGGAAGGAACAGAACCCGCAATTGGAAGCAAAGAGGTAATATAGGAAGAGAATGTACGTGAGAGGAGCATTCGATCCATTGATACACCAATCTCGTAACACCCTCATTTAGAATTCCCCATCCACTACATCCATCCAATTGGGCCCAGATCGCAAGAGTATCCAAGGAAAACGGGTTTGACCTACCTTTCTATATGTATATTGTGCAACTCAATCTCATACACTTCATATTAAAACATTAAACAATAAGACTGTGAGACCGTAAGACAGACCCGTTGAACACAAATTGAAGCAACAACAGCAGAAGTTCGTTCGTGTCTTACAATATTGAAACGAAAAGAACTTTTGAAGAACTAAACAACGAAAGAAAAATCAAAAGAACGTGGTATCATATTATTCATTGGTATGACTCTTTTGGAAGGTCCAGAATTGCAGGTGATTGGAAAGGCGTACTCCGCTCTAGCTTCGTCCCTTGAAATTTTCATGAATTATCATATGGATCCTAACGGTAAGCTGCGTGGGGCAATTATGCTTATCGGTTGCAGGGATGTCTCGGAATCTGTCTATCTTATCCGAAGCTGCGGGGATGATTTTCTTTTTGTCTTGTGGTTTGGAAAGTGTTCGCGATCATATCTGATCTGATAATTTTAAAAGAATTGAGTACTGAGAACGCACAGGACGAGATTGGGATGTAGTGAATACATGTTCTTCTACGGTACTCTCATCTGATGTTGTGTTTGTAT